ACAAGGGAGTTCTATACCTGAGATGAGCAGAGGCCAAGGCCAGACGGGCCTGGGACAGACAAGCTACTGTCCCTGGCTTGTTAGCCATGGCAGACGACAACTGAGTGGTGAGGAGCTGGCACTTTCCAAACAGCAGAAGGCTGGCTGGCCTTTTTTGTCTTTGGACCTCACACCTGTTTCTCATCCATCTCCCCAGCTGGCCACCATTTGTAAACCTGAAGTCGGCAGAGCAAGGGAGAAAGGGGCACTCACTGCCACTAACGCTACCAACAGGGAGTGACAACAGAGATGGGATCCCACATCCATTTCTCCTTTATTTCAGTAACAGAAGCCCCCAGGTTTTTCCTGGGCACAGCTGCCCAGCTAGGAATGATATTTCCCAGCCTCCCTTGCAGTTAGATGTAACCATCTGTCTAAGTCCTGGCCAATGGGTTGTGAGCACGTGGGTACATCTGCCTTCCTGGTCATCAGGATTGAACCAAGGGTGCTCTACCACTGAGCTGCATCCCCGGCTTTTTAAATTTTTGAGTCAGTCTCCCTAACTTGCCAAGCCTGGCCTAGAACTTGCAAACCCCATGCCTCAGCCTCCTGAGTAGGTGAAATAGTGCCCAGGGCCTTGAACATGATAGGGGAGAGAGAGCTCTACCATGGAGCCACACCCCTAAGCCCTAGGTCAGGTGGTGCTCCCCACCTGCCCTTTTTCTTCCCAAGAACCCAGTGGTAGAAGCCGGCTGCCATGGGCAATAATAAAGGGAAGGAGCCCGGGTCCCTGGACGATCTCCTGGAGCACCAGCTCTGATTCCCCTCGACTCAGACTTTCCTGTGAAACAAAATGGCACCATCTTGCTAAGCCTCCATCTTTTAGGTCTCTGTAAAAGATTCCAGACTCAGGTCCTAACCATAATCCAACAGTGAATGAGAGGCGGACAGGGCCACGTTCCCCCTGTGCCCATTCACCCGCCTTGAAAGGAGCAGGGAGCTTCATCTTGGGAAGGGCTCCGTCGCTGGGTCACAGCTCACTAGCGGTGTCTGGGGCAAGAAGCTGCACTGCTTTCAGGCTCATCGCCTCAGATAAACCTGAGGATCCTATTGCCAATTTCATGATCAATAATAAGGTTTTGGGAAATAATTATAAAGACTAACCTTTATTGGGCTTCCATCGACCTGTGCCAGGCAGACTGTGCAAAACTTGTGAGACCAGAAAAGAGAAGTCGGGGGCTGCTTACCACCGAGCAGTAAGGGGCGGAGCAAGGACGCCCCATCACGACTGACCTCAGGACCCAAACTGGCCGGTCTGTGCTGGCTCTAACCTGCCATTAGCACGCTCCCTGGCCTCAGGTAACCTCACTGATTCACCAAATGATGGTGAGCAGCGAGGCTGAGTCACACAGATCCGGTGACAGCACCGCAGACCAGGTCCCCACCCTCATGGAATTCATGCTCCCACCAGGAGAAACACACTCTCATATCCTGCCCTCAGCTGTGGGCAAAGCCACACTCACTCAGCGGGAGAAAGAACCATTTACAATCCCCACCCCACCCTGCCTCCTCTCCTCACCTCACTGCTTCATCTCCACCCTCTGCCTTCTGTTCTCCACTCTGACCTCCTTGCAATGCCTTGGACACACAGGCACATTCCCACCTCAGGGCCTTTGCACTTACGATTCCTCTGCCTAGAGCACTCTTCCTCCATATCTTTAGTTTTTTTTTTTAAATATTTATTTTGTAGTTGTATTTGGATATAAAAAAAGATAAATAAAATAAAGGTATTAAGAGAGAGAGGGAGAGAATTTTTTTTAACTAAGAGTTATGAGACCAGCCTGGGCAACAGCAGCAGGACCCTTCCTCTAAATAAAACAAAACAGCTGGGCTCGTGGCTCACACCTGTAATCCCAGCAGTTTGGGAAGCTGAGGCAGGAAGATCGCCAGTTCAAAGCCAGCTTCAGCAACTTAGCAAGACCCTGTCTCTAAATAAAAAATAAATAAAAAGGGCTGGGGATGTGGCTCAGTGGTAAAGTGCCCTTGGGTTCAATGAAATTAAAAACAAAATATTCAGTGACGCTTTCCCTGGTGACTTTAAATCCAACCCTTCCCCATCATACCAAATAATTATTACTCTTTCCTCTTGTATTTGTCTTTTGTTTTTTTAGATATATTTCTTAGTTGTAGTTGGACACAGTACCTTTATTTATTTTTATGTGGTGCTGAGGATGGAACGCAGGGCCTCACACATACTAGGTGAGTGCTCTACCATTGAGCCCAGCCCCTTGGGGCTTTTGTTTGTTTGTTTGAGACAAGGTCTCCATGTTGACCAGGCTGGCCTCAAACTCCTGGGCTCAAGTGGTCCCCCTGCCCCTCAAGTAGCTGGTACCCAGGGCTCATGGGCCTGCCCTCAGCTGCATTTTCTTATTCTGTTTTTGGTACTCGGGGGCCACTGAGCTGCACTCCCAACCCTTTTTAATTTTGAGATAGGATCTTGCTAATTGCCAAGGTGGCCTTAAACTTGCAATCTTCTTGCCTCAGCTTCCGGAGCAGCTGGGATAACAGGCATGTGCCACTGTGACTGGCCATTTTTTTTTTTTTATTTTATATACGAATGCTTTTATTGAGGTATAAGTTACATAAAACTCACCCAATTCAAATATATAATTCAGTGGGGTTTTTTGGTACCAGAGATTGAAACCAGGGGTGCTTAACCATTGAGTCACATCCCCAGCCTTTTTTGAGACAGGGTCTCACTAAGTTGCTTAGGGACTCACTTAGTTACTGAGGGTGACCTCAAACTTGCAATCCCCCTATCTCAGCCTCCAGAGTCACTGGGATTACAGGTGTGCACTACCATGCCTGGTTCAATTCAGTGATTTTTAATAAATTTACCAAGTGGTGCAACTGTCACTATGTATCAGTTTTTAGAATATTTCCACAATATGGCTGGATTTGGTGGTGCACACCTGCAATCCCAGCCACTCTGGAGGCTTAGGCAGGAGGATGGCAAGTTTGAGGCCAGCCCTGGCAACTTAGTGAGACTTTCAACAACTTAACAAGACCCTGTCTCAAAATAGCATGAAATGAAATAAAGGACTGGAAATTGGGCTGGGAGGTAAAGCACTCCTAGGATTCAATTCCCAGTACACCCCCCCCACACACACACAAAAAAAAAGAACATTTTCACTTTTCTATATGGTCTCACTATATTGCCTAGGCTGGACTCAAATTTCTGAACTCAAAGGATCCTCCTACCTCAGCCTCCCAAGTGGCTGGAACTGTAGGTGTCATTACCATACTCTGTGCTATTTAGAACATTTTAATTACCTCCTGTGCATTTATAGTTAATCCCCAGTCCCCCCTCATCAGCCCTCTAGCAACCACTAACTACTGTCTCTGTAACTGCCTTCCCTGAACATTTCACATAAACGACATCAGGCATTAGAGTCTTGCATCTGGCTGCTTTTCCATAGCATTGTGTGCTTGAGGTTCATCCGTGATGCAGGGTGTCAGGGGCTTGTTCCTTATCATTGCTGCGTATTATTCCACTGATAGGCATGCCACATTTTGTCCATCCATTCACCAAATGACAGACATTTTTTTAGGTTTTTCCTTAACATACTATGTACATTTTACTCTGCTTTCCTCAGTACAATTGTCAATTCCATGAGGCTGATTTTGTTCACTTCTGAACCCCTAGCCCTTGAACTGTACTAGATACCAAAGGTGCTCAATTAAATATATGCCAAAGGAATAAAGAATGAAGATAACCTCAGATGGTGGTAAGCAGGGGCTATGCCGGGCAGGAGAAAGGGATGGAATGACAGAGACAGGGCAGGCACCTCTGAGGACATTTAGAGCAGATATCTGAGGGTACAGCCACTATTCCTGCCTAGAATCTCCCTTTGTGCAGTCAGGACACCCACTGTCACAGAGGCTAGGCCCCCATTCCTCTCCCAGTCTGACTCAAGCCTGGTTCAGGGGTAAAAAGGCTGGGCTCAGCTGGACACCCCTTCAGTTTAGAGTCCCCAGGGTGAGTCAGAAAGCCAAGCTGAGCTTTGACTTCAGCCACTCTGCCAGAGCCTGAACCCCTGTTCACCCTGCATATTACTGTTACTCCCTCTGCCTTCCTATCTGAAAATAAGTAGTAACAGGGCCTGCTGTCTGGGCTGGATGCTGTTCAAGCTCAGTCTCCATCGTGATGGTATTTGGAAGTGGGACTCTAGGGAGGTTGTGAGATCAGAAGGGTGGAGCTCACAGGAATGGGATTAGTGTCCTTAGATCTGCCTCCCCAATCCCAGGGGCACTGAGGAGGCAGAAAGAAGGCAGCTGTTCACAGGCCAGGAAGTGGCCCTTAGACACCATCTCTGCTGTACCTTGGTCTTTAACTCCCAGGGTCCGGGGACTGAGAGATGCACTGTCGTGTAAGCAGCTGGATCTGTGGTGTATTTTTTATAGCAGCCCAAGCTAGGACACCTGCCTTTATTCAAAACAAAACCAAAGGCACCACATCATATCCTCCATGTGCATTATTCCATCTGTGCCAGGCTCCAGTCTAGGAAACCAACCCACCCAGATCTCATAGCCCCAGCGGCAGCTGTCACTCACAGGCCAGCTGTCACTCACAGGCCGGGAGTGAAACAACTTTCTGGAAGTCTCTCTGCTGCTGACACAGCTGGGCCTGGAATGCACAGGCCCCATCCAGCCTGGGCGCCTCACCCCAGCCAGTTTCTCTCCAGGCGGGAGAGGGGCTGTGAGCTTCAGTTAAATAGTGAAGACCCTGGCGGCCTGCATGGGCATCCCTCCAGGGCAGCCATCTGACCTTTTGAGGGGAAGCTCACAACAGCTCTCCATCCTCTCCCCAGAAACCTGCAACTCCCCGACACCCCTGACCCCAGCCCATCCACCGGTGGCCTGGATCAGGAACAGGCAATCAACTGTCCGCCTCCCCCTTTCCTATGGAGGAAAGTGTGGGTGGGGCCAGGGAGGGGCGGTGAGTCAAGACCTATTTGCTGCAGGGCAAAGGTTGGGAGGGTGGGACTCCTCGGAATTCCTGGGGCTACAGGTCCAGCGCTCCTCCTCCTCCCTGCGGGAACTGCCCGCTCCTCCGACCCACCTTCACTCACCACCATGGAGTTCGACCTGGCAACAGGTGCGCTCCGGGCGGGGGTCCCCGTGGGTGGGGGCAGGCTCAGCGGGGCCAGGGGTTCCAATACCCCCAACCCACCCAACTTCTTTTGTGTCGCAGCCCTGAACTCTAATTCCAAGAAGCCAGCAGGGACAGGCCAGGTGAGAGACGCCAGGCACGGTCCCTCCAAGGCTCAGGGCCCGCCAGAGGCGGGGGCACCTCGGAAACCAAGGGTAAGTCACCTCGCCACCAGGCATGCAGGGGGATGGGGCGACCTGGATTCGACTTTGGCCCTTAGACCTTGTCGCACCTCGGCTTTCCGACTTGGGGTGGGGGTCTGGGAAGGGGTTCCCCGCCCTCACTGTCATCCCTGTCCCCCAGCATGGCAATGGCAGCTCCTCAGACTCCAGCAGCAGCAGCAGCAGCTCCTCCAGCGACTCGGATGCCGAGGGGAAGGTAAAGGGCTGCCCGGGCCAAGGCAGGCCAAGGTGGGGGTCAGCGCTGGGCGGGGCCGGTCCCAGGACAGCCTGGACATCTCCCCTCCCACCCGCTGCCCACAGTGCCACGCTGCGGGCGCCAAGCAGCACGAAGCCACCCCGGGCCAGGCCAAGAAACTCAAGGTGAAGAAGAAAAAGGAGGAGAAGAAGGACAAGAAGGAGAAGGGCAAGGAGAAGGGCAAGAAGTCCCCTCACTGATTAAACCCTCCCGATGGTGGCGCTGTGTCTGGCTCCCGCCCCGTCCCCGTCGCTCCGCTCCCTGGCCCGGCGCTGCCCCCTGCCGGGCGGCCAGTCCCCTGCCCGGCGTCCCAAGGACAGAGGCGGCCCCAGTCCATCAGGCTTTATTGTTTCGCTGTGCAGCTGGAGATCTCAGCACCTTGGCGGGGAGAGGGGCGCGGGCGGGCGCGGGCGGCGGCCCTGCCCGGAAAGGCGGCCCGAGGCGGGCGGAGATGAGCGGCGGCAGCGGGCGGGCGGCAGGCGGCTGCGCGGGCGCCCTCACCGCACCAGGTGGAAGGTGAGCCAGTACATGAGCAGGGGCTGCGCCGCCGCCACGGCCATGGTCAGGTACATGCGCAGCTGGTTCCGCGCCCCGCGCACCGGTACTCCTTCAGCCGCCGCCTCGGCCAGGATCTTCAGCCGCAGCGTCCGGATCTGGGAGGGGAGGGGAGACGGGCGCTGGGTTTACCCTCGCCACCAACCCGCCAGGGGCGGGAGGACTGGGTGGTGGGAGGACTGGGCGGACTTCTAGCCTCTGCCCACAAGAACCCGCAGCCTGGCCAAGATCCTGCCCCTCTGGGCCCGTGAGCAAAAATGAGGGTTCCAGACTCAAATGCCAGTAAGACAGCTTTACCAGCCACGGTTTTTTCCCCTCTTGGTGCTGAAATCAAATGCAGAGCCTCTCCGTGGTAGACAAGGCACCCTCGGTGATGACCATTTTTAAAGACAAAGTAGATCCCCAACTCTGCCTCCCCAATCCCAGACTGAACCCAGACACAGTCTACCATCGAGCTATACTAGCAACCTTTTTGAGACAAGGTCTCACTATTGCCCGGGGTGGCCTTCATTCTCCTGCCTCGGCCTCCGGTAACTGAGATTATAGGTGGGACTGACACTGCCTCAGGCTGCCCCCACCCCACCTCAGCTTTTTTTAAATGGGGTCTCCCTATGTTGCTGAGGCTGGCCTCCAACTTGAGATCTCCCCACCTAAGCCTCCTAAGTAGCTGGAATTACAACTAGAAATGTGCCCAGCTAGAAATGCTATTTTCTAAAATATTTAAAATGTATTTTTTTAACTTTGAAATGATGACATCAGCGTATCTGCTCATGGGTCATTTACAGCCCAGTAGCCCTGCGCCCCATGTGCACCCTGGGCTCTGACCTCTCCCAGCACCCTGACATGCAGACATCACCATCCCATTTTATAAAAGGGGAAACTGAGGTTTAACCCCAGAACTGATCTGAGGCATGAAATTCGGGTCAACCCAAGCCAGGGCCCTTTGCCAGCACCCCCACTCCGGATGGAAGGGCTCTTAGAGAATCTCCTTCCAGGGAAATTTTGGTGGGAAAGTCCCCCACATAAGGGGAAGGGTGGGGACCCAGCCCCCAGCCTGGGTGGGGATCCTCACCGCAGCCCCAATGCCAGCTCCTGTGGCTCTACCTGACCCAGCTTGGATACCTCCTCTTCTAAGAAGCCCTCCTGACCCCGGCTGGGGTAGTTACTCCATGCCCCTCAGTTTGGCAACAGCTCTCGTCTAAATTCCTTCTCTGACATCCTCTGCTTGGATGCCCCAGGGCCCAACTATGTCCAGGAGGCCTGTGTCCTCAGCCTTACCCACCCTGAGCCCCAGCTCACCATGAACACGAAGATGGACACGCAGCACCAGCCCAGCACCAAGTAGTAGCCAGTTTTCCCAAAGAGCAGGCCCATGAGAACCCCGCCGATCATGCTGGAGAGAGGGAGAATGGAGGCTGATTTGAGGACAGGGCCCAAGGGCGGGGCTGGCAGGCAGGTTTGGGGGTACTCACCCGACATATTTGTAGCCCAGGAAGGCCACCAGGTCGATGGTGGTGAGGTCGGTATTGACAGTGACCAGGTAGAGGCTGAGCAGGATGGCCAGCACTTCCAGGGCCAGCCAGGCCAGTGCTGAGCTTGCCTGCAAGCCCAGGAGGTCTGGGGAGAACCTGTGGGACCGAGCTCTGTCATTCAGCTGCTGGCTCAGACCCCCCCTGAGCACTGGCCTAGAGACAGCCCAGCAGTGACCAAGAGGGACCTGGGCCTGCCCTCCTAGACATCCCATTCCAGGATTCCAGTTTGTCTGTTCCCAGGCAGTGACACCCACAAGGGTCAATCACAGGTGTGACTCACAGGGGGCTGTGGCACACAGGCCGGAAGGGATGGCAGAAGGGGCTTCCCAGAACAGAGGACAGCTAAGCTGAGGTCTGAAGGAGTAAGCAGTGGTCAGAGAAGGGCCGGGGTCTCTGCCCTATCCCCAGGGCCCAACAATTAATCAACTGCTTCTAATGACAGTTGTTTTCAGTGCCACAAAGGAAAGGACCAGGGACTATGAGGGAGAGACAGGGGCTCGCCCTGGAGGAGAGGCATCAATGCTGGGTGGGGCATGAGCAGGCGACATAGGGAAGGAGCCTTCTGAGCCAAGGTAACAGAAGTGCCCAGGCCCTGGGGCAGCACCAGGCCCTCTGGAGTGGAAAGGGACAGAGTGGCACGGCAGAGGGAGCAAAGGGGATGGAGATGCCAGGCTGAGGAGCTGGGGCTCAATTTGGGGGCTTCTGGCAGCTGTATGGGTCAAGGTGGGGTGCGGCCCGGCCCACAGCTCACATAAAACCTTCCCAGATGTCCCTGGAGTGAGGGCGGCAGGGGCAGCGTGCTCAGGAGAGTGAGGATGAGGACAGATCTCAGGTGGAGGCTAAGAGGAAGGATGGATTTAGAGGGTCCCCCCGCACAGGGTGTGATGGGCTGCATGTGGCTGGGAAAGAGAGGGGAGGCAAGGGGACAGTGAAGGTGATGGACTGAGACCTCCCTGATGTGCCTTGGTCCCCAAGACCACCCCACTCCCTTACCTATCCTGTGTCCCCAGTGCAAGGCCAGCCACCAAGATGTAGGTGATGAAAGCCATCGCTGTAGGAGAAGACACAAGACAGAGGTCAGAGGAAGGGCTGTTTTGGGCCTCTGCACCCAAACCTCTGCCCAGCCAGAGGGAGGGGGGTGTGGGCAGGGCTGGGCAAGGTGAAACCTGGAATATAGAGGTCAGGAGCGTTGATGTCAAAGCGGGGGGCCACTGGGGTGTCCTGCTGGTACTGCACCTCCCAGTCCTGTGGGGAGAAAGGGGGAGTGGGCAGGATCCCCAGAGCAGGGCTCCTCCCGCCTTGCTTACAGCGGCTGACCCCAGGACCCCGACCCCGACCGCCGGGCAGCGCAGTGCCAACCTGGTGCAGATAGGGGAAGACGAGCAGGCCCAGCTTTTTGCCCACATACACGGTGTCCACGGCAAAATAGTACTTGAGCTTGGTGACAGGGATGAAGCGGTCAATCTGCAGAGGCAGAGCTCAAGCCTGAGACCCTGCAGCCCCTGCCATCCCGCCCCCCAGCCCCGGTCCACTCACGTTCTTGTCCACCAGCTCCTTGCCCTGTGCAGCCAGGCTGCTCCCGTAGGCCATGGCCATGTTGGACACAGGATCTGCCAGGAAGGCCGCCTGTGCGGAGGCAGAGGTGTTGGGGTAGCCCAGACCACCAGGTGCCCGCTGGGCCCCATAGCCCCGGTTCTGGGCTGAACTCGTGTCATCAAAAAGCTGGTGGGGGTCGGCCATGTCCGGCGGGGAGGCCGGAGTCCTCCGCTTCGAGGCTGCAGGGGAAGAGAGTGGATGCTCCCTCATTCTGCAGCTCTCCTTCTTGCTCCTGCCAAATCAGGGGCTGGAGTCACCAGCAGAGTGCTGATATCACATGGGCTCTCAGGCGCAGGCTCTACCTATCCATCCACCATCCATCAATCTACCCCTCCACATCCACCCATCCCTCCATCATCCATCTGTCATTACCCACCCATCCGCCACCTATCTACCCATCCATTATCACCTACCTATCACCCACCCATCATCCACCCATCCATCTTTGTCACCCATCCACTCATCTACAAAATAATAAATAATAATGGTGACATGGACAGCTACTCTGGGGTCTAATACGCACCAAGCCTTTTATAAACAAGGGCTCTGTCCTTGTCTCCCACGCTCTCCCTCACTCAGGGAAAGTGGTTCAGGTCCAGCCACCTTGGCCTTTCAATGCTCACCAGACATACCTGCTACCTACCTGGCACACACCTACCTCAGGGCCACTGCACTAGCTGTGCCTCTGCCTGGAATGCTCTCTCCACCATGCGCACACAGTTCCCCCTCTCTGCCTGCGGATGGGGCCTTCCCTGATCACCCCGGGCGGTACCTGACCCACCTTCCCTACTTCATTTTGACCACGGAACTTGGCACCAGCTGACCGATCAGCTGTTTTCTTTATTTTACTCACTGTCTCCCCACTGGACTGCGAGACCCTGGGGTGGGGACCTTCACCATGTTCATAGCTGAACCTCAGAGCTAAAGCAGGTGCTCAGTGTGAATAAATGGCCACCCCCATTTGACAAATGTGAAACCAAGGCACAGAGAGCAACATGGCTTGTGAAAGGACCAAACAGAGTTGACTGGCATGGAGTCCGGCCCAGGTCTCTCTGGCAAAGATGACAATGATTAAACCCTGACAGATAGGCACCATGATACATTCCTGTAATCCTTGTGACTCAGACCCTGAGGCAGGAAGATCACAAGTTCAAGACCAGCCTGGACAACTTAGCAAGACCTGATTTGATAAAAAATTAAAAGGGCTGGGGGTGGAGTTCAGTGGTAGAGTCCTCGCCCAGCACACACCAGATCGTGGGTTCTAAGCAGCACATGCACACATGCACACGCACACAACTCCACAAAATGTCCCCTCTGGCTTCATGGGAGGGGGGGATGGTGGAGGAGCATGGGCAGGAAAAGGAGACTGCTGAGGTGGCCCAGAGAGGAGCAGTGGCAGGACCCCAGGGGGGTGGGGTATGGGGATGAGCTGTTTCTGGGTACATCTCCCAGGTAGGAGGGACGGGGACTTGCTGGAGGTGGTGAGGAAGTGGAAGAATCAACGCTGAGCAGTGGGGTGGATGGGGGGGGGGGGGTGGAAGACCAGCAACCTGGCCCTGGGCTCCTGTTCCTGGCCACAGAGCAGTGCCACCCAGCAGACATATGCTGAGAACTGCTACACGCCAGGCACTGCTTTGTGCACAGAGGACAGGAGATAAGGCCATGCTGGGATGTGGGAGAAGAATCAATTATCCATGTCACAGCCTCCTCTATCCCTGGGTTCTCCCCTCTGTAGAATGGAGTTAACTGTTGTCCCCCCACCCACCCACCGTGCAGGGCTGGTGTGAGGCAAAGTGACCACTCACAAACTGCTCAGCTGCATAAATCCATGTTCCCAGCTCTTCCTCTCAATTTTTCTTTCCTTTTCCCCCCTCTGCAGAGCTGGGGTGGAGCCCAGGCCTTCGCACGCGAGGCGGGGCTCTAGCCCCGGCACTAGCCCCTTCTCAATTCCTCAGTAGCCTAAAAACACAGACCAGGTCTCTTTAATTGTGAAGGAAGCAGCACTGGCCCTGACCTTCCCCCTTTCCTCCTTCCCTTTTCCCTTTCACCTCTGGCCAGATGAGTGACTTCCTGAAAGTTCAGGGCGAGTCTTCCTCCCTCCCTGTCATTCCCTTGGCACTAGGTATGTGGGGCTCTGCTGTCACAGGCCTAGGCCATTGTTCCACTCTTATCTAACTCGATCCCCTGGAAGCTTTTGGTGTCACTGCCCCAAATGCCAACCTCCAACTCTGTGGCTTTTGCGACACTGCATGCACCTGTTTCTCAAATCTGTCAGACCTCGCAAGCATCTGCGGAGCAGAGCCCGCGTGAGAGGCCCTGTTGCGGGCACAGCGCACACAGCACAGGCAGGGACAGAACCACTCCTGCCTCCAGGAGTTCACAGGCTCCCAAATGGTCCCTCCCTGAAATGTGTGACCCAATTTTCCATTCTTGCCCTGTCTTCCGCCTCTCACCTAAGGCAATCCCATCCACAGTCAGCTCTGACCACCACAGGGTGCCTTCGCTTTCTGGGCTCAATTTCTAGCCACTGATTTTCCATTGGCACCAGATCCAGGTCTAACCTCTTCCCAGAATTCCCTCTGGCTGCCTGCCCCTGGGTCTTGACCTCAGTGTCCAAATCTTGATTCCCCTCTGCCTCACAACCAGTCAACAATTCCTTAGTTCTCAGACACTATGTCCCAAGGTCCCCCTCTCTGACTCTGTCACCTCCCCCCTGATTTAAATGTCTTCCCCGGTGCAGCCCTGTCTTAGTCCACCAACCTTCCTCTAATGGGCAGCCAGTGAACCTTTCAAATGCACGCAGCAAGCCACAATGTCCTCTGCCTAAGATCAGTGCCCCTTGTGCTGTGAGTCAGCTCCAAACATGGAATGGCCCTGTGTGACCCGCTCTGCCAGACACCTCTGTCCTAGCCACAATGGTCTCTTCAGGCCCTGTCCACGCAGCCCCTTGCCCTGCAGGCTTTTGGATGTGCAGTACTGTCACCTGGGAGCACTTCCTTCCTCGGCCCCTGCCAATATCACACCCAGTCCTTGGCCTAGAGGCTTCCTTCTCACAGTCCTGGTACAAAGCAGGAGCCCTGCCTGTTCTGTCCTCCCTTCGGAGTGCACATCTCAATTTCTAAGCAGATACTCACCTACTTGTGTCCTCAGTGCAGGCCTTCAGTGCCTTCCCCACTCCTACAAGTCTCCTCCTGGATAACTCATCATTACACGTACCCTCTCTGGTAGAGAAGCTGCACTGACCCCCCAGGCCAGGCCTCCTCTGGGCTCCTGCCAACACCTCCATCCCGGCCAAGCCCCCTCTGCCTCCCATCCCTGTTCTGCGCTGCTCTCATCATATCTCCATTACTTCACGCTGCCACTTCTGCTCTGTAACTAGCAGCTCCATGAGGGCAGGAACAAGTGCTCTCTGGACACTGGCGTTATCTCCTGCATCTCACACCACAGGGCCAGCCAGGAACTTACCAAAGGTTGAAGAGGTGAAGAGACATTGCCCTCTCCCCCAAGAGTCCTCCTTAACCTGTCACATCCTGGACTATGTACCCCCCAACCCCAGTACTAGGGATTAAACTTGGGGCCTAGAGCACTGATCTACATATCCAGCCCTTCTTGTTAAATTTTATTTTGAGACAGGGCTTGTTAAGGTGTCCAGGTTGGCCTTCATTTTTCAATCTTCCTGACTCTGTCCTCATTACAATTATAGGTACAGGGATTAAAGGTGTGCCTGGGGCAAATTATTCTTTTTTTTTTCAATTTTATTTATTTTATTCACTTTAGATATATTTGTGTGTGTGTGTGTGTGTGTGTGTGTTGCTGGGGACTGAACCCAGGGCCTTGTGCATGCAAGGCAAGCACTCTACCAATTGAGCTATATCCCCAGCCCTCATTTTTGTTATTGATGGACCTTTATTTTTTATTTATATGTGGTGCTGAGAATGGAACCCAGTGCCTCACACATTCGAGGCAAGTGCTGGCTGTACCACTGCACCACAACCCCAGCCCGAGGATTATTCTCTTTATAGCTCTTTTTACTCCCCAAATTATCTTGTTGCTTCGTTTGCTTTTTAGTGTGTCTGCCTTTCCACTGAATTCTGAGCTGTTAAGACAGCAAGGACCAGAGTCCTCAAACCTACTTTTGAGTACCCAAATTCCAGCATAGGGCCTGGCACGGGGGAGCTTAGGCAAGGTATGCTGAATGAAGAAATGAAACGCACTGCGCTCATATGGAGATGAAGAGGAATTGAGAGATACAAATTCAACGGTGGGAAAAAAGGAGATTAATAGTACAATCAGTACAAGTTCAATTTTAAATGAGCGTGAACATGATCCTCTCACGGAGGGCCCTGAAGGCCGTAGTAAGAAGCACGGGCGACAGCTCGTGGGCACTGGGGAGCCACGGAAGGGTGGGGAGCAGGGGAAGGCAGACCGCTAACTCCAAATGAATGAAAGTCGCGTTTCTCCGCACAACACACAATATCCTACTCCAAGTCGTTTTCGTCCACAGCAGTTTCCTAAAGAATCTACCCACAAGGCGCCCCCTACCCGGACCTGGCATCCCTGAGCTGTGCACACCTCCAAATTCCAGATCCTCAATCTCGTGACCTCCGACCTGCAGTGACCTCTCCAACCGCCGCCGCGGCCCCGCCACGCCCCCGCCCTCCCGAACTCCTCGGTCAGCCACGTACGCCACTTACGCAGCCGGGGCGTCCCCGCCGCCGCCGCCAAGCCTGCCGGGTTCATCCTTTGCCGCCGCCACCTCAGCCGCGGTTCGTAACGTGGCCGCCCGGCTCCCGTAGCCACGCCCCAGCGGTGACACGACAGCCAATGGGCTTCAAGATTGCTCAGATGGCCGCGCCCCCTCTCTCTCACGGAGGCGTGGACGAGTGGGCTGGGGTTTACGTAAGAGGCGGGAACTGGGGCTCTCCGGCGTAAGGCGAGGGGCGGAACCTGAGCGTTAGGGAGGCGGGGCCGGGAACAATCCTAGGAGTAGGCGTTGTTGGGCATGACGGGAAATGTAGATGTCACGTGTTGAGCGAAGAGGGCGATGGGAAATGGAGTTCTCTGCAGCTTGGGACTTTCTTGGATAGCTGAGAGCACCCGGAGTCAGCGAAGGGTGTGAAGGAGCGGAGAAGAGGTGCACTTGTGTTTCCGAGGGGCTGATCGGAGTTGTGCGAGCTCTGAAGCTTGTACCGTTTGGGCACTCTTTAAGTATTATAGTGAATATTTAGAGTAGGAAGAAAACACCCAACAGGTTAGGTGAGAAGAACCGGTGTCTTTCTTGGAAGACAGCTTTAGGCAGTTTCCCAGAAATTTATTAAAATGTTCTCTCAACTAGGTTTTCTCTAAAACCAAAGAGGCTCTCTAACTTCCACTTATCTCCGGCAAAGACAACGGTGGGGGTGACATCTGGGCAGTGATAGCGCTCCGGAAGGATGTCAGCTGGGGACCCTATCATTGTGGCTTCCCCTTCCTCCTCGGAGATGTGGGTCTTTTCTGGGGACCTTGAAAGGCTGCCCCTAAGCTTCTCAATAACGAGTCCAGGCTGCACTGAGGTCCTTCTGTATGAGATGTCCCATTTCTCTTCTCACCTCGGGTTTAGAATCTGCCCCTTCGGCTTCACCGCCGTTTTCTCCTCAGCCTCAGCCCTTCCTGTTGCGTCGAGATCCATCTCTTTTTGGGGAATGGGGGGAGCACGAGGATTGAGCCCAGGGGCACCTAAACCACTAGCCACACGCCCATCTCTTTTGTTGGATTTTATTTAGAAACAGGGACTCGCCAAGTTACTTAAGGCCTCGCTCAAGGGCTGCGGCTGGCTTTGAACTCGCGATCCTCCAGCCTCAGCCTCCCTAGCCACTGGGCACCACTCACCCGGTGGGCACCACTCACCGGCAAGATTGATCTCTTCTCGACTATTTTTTAATTATTATTAATAAAGTATTTTGGCTTCCTATTGGCCTCTTGTGACTATAGTCATCCTTCTATATCTGTGGAGGATTAGTTTCGGGACCCTGTAGCTACCAGAATGCTCAAACACTCCAGCCCTTTATGTAAAACAAGGTAAATTACGTCTGTAATCCCAGCGATCGGAGGCTGAGGCAGGAGGATTGAGAGTTCAAAGCCAGCCACAGCAATTTAGTGAGGCCCTAAGCAACTCAGCAAAACCCTGTCTCTAAATAAAGTATAAAAAAACTCTGGGGATGTGCCGCAGAGGTTAAGCGCTCCTGGGTTCAATCCCCGGGGCGGGGGGGGGGAGTAGTTTTTGTGTAAACATAGTCCTGTATACTTTGTTTCTATTCTTTTGTGTTGTGTTGGGGATTGAATCCAGGGTGCTCTACCACTGAGCCACACAGCCCTTTTTAATTTTTATTTTTGAGACAGGGTCTCACTACCCAGGCCAGCCTTGAGCTTGCAGTCCTCCTTCCTCATCCTCCTGAGACACCTCCTGTATACTCTAAATAATAATAATAATAATAATAATAGTTATTATTATTATTAATATGTAGTGCCAAAGATCAAAGTCAGGGCTTCATACATGCTAGAAAGTGGCAAGCACTCTATCAATGCACTACACCCAGCCCCTTAAATCACTCTATATTACTTCTTGGAGTTTTTTTTTTTTTTTTTGGTGGTGGGGATACTGGGTATTGAGTCTCTGGGTGGCACACCCAGATCATTATTTTTCGGGGGTTACTGGGGATGAACTCCAGGCTGCTTTACCACTGAACTACATCATCACACATACATCCTTTTTTGAGACAGGGTCTTGCTAAGTTGCAGAGGCTGGCCTTGAACTTGTGATCCTCCTGCCTCAGCATCCTAACTCATGAGATTACAAGCATGCTCCACAGTGCCTGACCCAGTTCATTGCTATCTTGATTAACAGGTATCTCTTCCTGTGGATTTTCAACCCAAAATTGGCCTCCGTCCCAAGAATTGCCATGGTTTTTATAAACAGAACCAGCTGGCTGGGTCTGATCTGGCCCGGAGCCCTACTCCTCTGTGGTAAGATGGGGTTGGGATTCTGGGCTGCCTCCCAGAAGGCTGCCAGGAGGTACTCATTTCTGGCTGCAAAGGGATGTAGGGAGACCCTCAGGAAGGACACTGAAGGAATGTTGTTGATGATGTTGTTGTTACAGGGATCGAACCCAGGGCCTTGCTCACGCTAGGATGTGCTGTACCACTGAGCTCCACCCAGCCCTCCCTCCCAGGTATATATTTATGATTCCTGTCTATCTTTTTGTGGTGGGGCACTGGGGATTGAACCCAGGGGCACTTTACCACTGAGCCACATCCCCTGCTCTTTTTATTTAGAGACAGGGTCTCCCTAACTTGATGAGGGTCTTGTTAAATTGCAAAGACTGGCCTTGAACTTGGAATTCTCCTGCCTCAGCCTTTGCAGTCACCTGGCTGTTTTTTCTCTTCTTTGCTTCCTTTCATATATATATATTATAGCTGGACACAATACTTTTATTTTATTTATTTATTTTTATGTGGTGCTGAGAATGGAACCCAGGGCCTCGCACAGCTAGGCCAGCGCTCTACCACTGAGCCACAACCCTACCGGCCTCTTTTTTTTTTTTTTTTTTTTCAGTTCTGGGATTGAACTCAGGGCTTCATGCAATATTTTTGAGTCTGGCTCACAAAGACCCTGTCTCACTCCTAGTCACTCTTCGTGTCTCAGCTAGGATGACCCCCTTCTTCAGGTCACTCTCTTGACCTCCCTAAGCTGGGTCATGGCTTCCTCTGGCTTCCTACATCCTACCCCTGATAATCTTGCCTGTGCTTCCCATGGGCTGCGGGACCTGTCACCCTGGGCTGTCACTCTACTGATCTGTCAGTTTCCCCTAATATACTGGGAACCCAATGAGGGCAGGGTCCAAGACTGCTTTGTTCTCAGTACTACCCAGAACAAAGTGCGATCTGAGCAAAGATGTGGTGAATGGGTTAGGATCCTCGCTCTGTCCAGGAGGGCACAGGGGACACCTGACCCTATCATGTCTGCCTTTGTGAACTAGACGTTCCTACAGGGTGGTGGCCATCCCATCTAGGGCGCAAGACTTGGCGAGTAGGGTGAGAAATGGATTTCAGTCTGCCCCTGAGCCTAGCCACGCTCTTTGATGCAGTGCACAACCTGAGCAGACTCGCGCAGCGGCGCCGAGGAGTTGGGGAGCGGCTGTTCCATCCACCAGGAGAGTTTGACCCTCTCCAGTTTGGGGAACCGCGATCTCCTCACCCTCTGGTCCTGTCGGGCTCCTGGCCAGGAGCGCTGGGCTCCGCCCTCGGTGCCCTGCAGAACACCTGGAGTTGGGCGTGCCTCAGTTTCCCGGAGGCTGGGCGTTCCTCCAGCCCCGCTCCTCCCCTTTTTCCTCTTCCTCTTGGGGCATCAGTGGCCCAGCGTCGGACTCCCGGAACTGAACCCAGGCGGCGGGCGGCGGCGGCGGCGGGGGCCACGTCAGCGGGCGGCCCGGGGCTGTGCGGGGGCGGGTGGCGGGCGCCATGCGGCGGGGCGCGCTCCTGGCGGGCGCCCTGGCCGCGTACGCCGTGTACCTGGTGCTGGGCGCGCTGCTCGTGGCGCGGCTGGAGGCGCCGCACGAAGCCCGGCTCCGAGCCGAGTTGGGGACGCTGCGGGAGCAGCTGCTGCGGCGCAGCCCGTGCGTGGCGGCCCCGGCCCTGGACGCCTTCGTGGAGCGAGTGCTGGCGGCCGGACGGCTGGGGCGCGCCGCGCTGGCCAACGCGTCGGGGCCCGCCAACGCCTCGGACCCCGCCTGGGACTTCGCCTCGGCGCTCTTCTTCGCCAGCACGCTGGTCACCACCGTGGGTACGTGAGCGCGCCCCGCCGGCCAGCCAGCGCCCGGATCCCACCTGGTCCTGGCCCTTCGCCCCCCGGGTCCTTCGAAACGCCCCTCCCTCCCGGGCCTCGGAGCCCCTCAACCCCCGCCCACCGGTCCAGACCCCTGGGGACCCTCAGCCAGGCCTTTCCTCCTAAGCGGGAAACACCCCTCCAATTCTGCAAGCGTCCAGGACCTCACCGCCCCGAGACCTCACCTCCCCGTCTTAACCCCCATGAGGATTTGGGTCTCTCCAGATCCCTCCTGCCCTGGAGGCTTAGAGACCAAGGAGGACCTGGAAGCCTCCACCTAAGATCCTGTCCCCTCTGGCTGGGAGCCTCCTGCAGGCTAGAACCTATCTCTGGGCTGCTACAGCCATTGCTTCCAACCGTGTCTCCCGACTGTCCCTACACCCACTTCCTCCTGACCCCAGCCAGGACCCTGCTGCCCCACACCATCACCAAAGACCTGCCTTCCAGGGGGACACTGGCAGGAACCTGTGGCTGCTCTGGGACTCCCAACCCTCTGGCCCTCCATCACTCTCTGCATGGGTCCCAGATAGGACAGCCGCCATCCCTGTGGCCTCATATTCCCCTGCTCCAGGACAGGACCTCCCACAGCCATCCTGACAGCGCCCCCAGCATTGCAGGGTTTCCCCCCAGCTGGGATTCTCTCTGTTCCTTCTGGACCTGTGACCCCAATTCAGTAGCCCCAACAACTGAGTGTGTGAAAGGGACCCCCCATGGAGGGAGGCAGAGCACCCTCTAGGAGGAGCACAGACTGTCCAACCAGAAGCCCACTCCCAGACTCCCACCGCTCTGTCCTCTAACCACCTCCAGCAGAATTCTAGCCCTTTGAAACCCCAGGAGTCTCCACGAAGTCCTCTTTAAACCATGAACTGAGACTCCCACCCCCCCGGACCCTGAAACCCCTCAGTGAGAGCCCCAGAACCACCAGGACCTCCCATGGGGACCCTAGCGCCCCTCACACTGTTGTGGACAGCAGAATCCGCCTCCCTGGCCCCACAAGATGCCAGCCCAGATGTCCTCTCCCACCTCTGTCTTGGCGCTGAGGTCCCCTGCCCTCTGTGGATTTCCCAAACAAGGGGATCTCCTGGGCACTTGGGAGCCCTCTGACCTTTTCCAGACTCACAGCTGGGACGTCCCTTTCCACCCAACTGCCCCAGCCTGTGTTGTCTCTGAAATTCTCTCCATGAAGGCTGCGCCAGGCCTCTGCACAGGACCTTCCCCAGCACCATGTCTACCCTGGACGGTCAGCAAGGGCCTGGGACACTGCCCTATCTCTTAGCAGCATCTCCCTTACCACCTGCCCTCAGGTACCCTGGGCTTCACAGCCCTCTCTGCCTGAGGACTTCTCTGCCAGACGTCACCAGCTGCTGCTGGCCCTTTGACCCAGGACCCCAGGATTCATTTCAAACAAGGACACTGGCCCTTGATTTAAGATGGACCCCTAGACTCCCTGCTCTGAGCCCTCATTCAAGTGGGACCCTGGGACCCCACCCCCAACCCTTGAGAACCCTGGCCCCGGGGAAGTCCCTTGTCCCCTCACAGACCTGGGAAGTCCCTCTGCCATCACGCTCTGCTGCTCCCCAGCCCCTCCCCAGCCACCAGCTGCCCCTTTGGGAACGTGGAGGAGGGTGGTCCAGAATCCTGACTGCCTCCAGCAGCAGTAAGGGGTGGCATTTGTCCCCCTTGGTGCCCCATCCTATGGATCAGCCAACAGAGGCCACTGGCGGCAAAGCGGGATGATTTCCTCCCAGACTAGAATTAGCCGCCTTGCCTGGGGCGTGCTCTCCCCGACACTGCGGGGCCTGCCAGGGCCGGCCCGACCAGCCTCTGACCTTCCCTGGGTCAGCGCCTTGCTGTCTCCTCATAGATGCTGGTTTCTGCATCATCCTCCCTGGAGGAGGAGCAGGTGAGGGAGGCCAGACACCAGGCAGACACAGTTTGGCTTGGCATCCTGGCTTTGCTGCTGCTCCATGTCCTCCCTCATCTGGAAAATGGGGTAATAAAGCTGGGTGCGGTGGCCCACGCCTGTGATTGCAGTGACTCAGGAGGCTGAGGCAGGAGGATCCCAAGTTCGAGGTCAGCCTCAGCAATTTAAAACAAAAGCTGGGCATGTGGCTCAGTCGTAGGGCACCCCTGAGTTCAGTCCCCATTAGTGAAAAAAAAAAAAGGAGAGGTAATAGCACTCTGCATAGTAATGCCTGGAGAGAGAGAAAATGTGTGTGAGAGAGAGAGAGAGAGTGTGTGTGTGTGTGTGTGTGTGTAGCTGAGGCACAGAGAAGTTGGTCCACTGGCCCAAGGTCACACAGCTGGAAAGGTACAGAGATTTGAACCAAATCTCCAGAATCCAGTGCTCTTACCCAACATACCACTCTGCTACTGAGCAAGGGCTCGCTGCCCGACCTTTCTTTTTTACAAAAAGAAAGAGCTTTATTGAAGGCCAAGAGCAAGGAGGCGGGAGGCGCATTCAAGTCCATTTCCCAGATTGGACTGGCCAGTAGGGGAGGAGCCTGAGTGGCTGGGGATGGGGTTTGACAGTCGGCTGGTCCCGGGGCACTTGGGGATGATTCTGGTCTATTCTGCCTCTGTTGACAGTGGCCCTTGCTGGTCTAGTCCAGGGCTGGGGGCCTGTTTTCTGGTTCTGCTCCTCAGAGCCTGGGTTCCTCCAGGCTGTTGAGGCCATCTTAGGTCAGATCCCAGGGTCCCGTGCCAGTTCTGAAAAACAGCCTGACGTGCCTTTAGGAACAGGGAAGTCGCCATTCGATGGCTCTGTTTCAACACTGCATGGCTTGGAGAGGGCGATGTGTGCGTTTCCTAGAGGAACTCAGATGTGAAGGCAGCGGAGCGAGGGGTCGGGTGGGAGGGACAGGGCAGGAGGCTTCCCCGACTGGGCTGGACAGTTCCTTTTCTCTGGCGTTGGGGATGAGGCCAGGGCCCTGCACATACCCGACAGCACTCTACCTCCCAAACCCAGGCCAGTCAGCCACACGTGGTGCCCACACCTGGGGTCCCAACTCTTCAGGAGCCTCAGGCAGAAGGATCATGAGTTCCAGGCCAGTTGGGGCAACATGCCGAGACCTGTCTCAAAAGAGTGGGAGGGGGTGAAAAAAGAGGGAGGGGGAGATGAGGCTGGGTGTGGCGACACCTATAATCCTGGCTACTCAGGAGGCTGAGGCAGGAGGATCGAAAGCTGAAGGCCAGCCTCAGCAATTCAGTGAAGCCCTAAGCAACTTAATGAGACCCTGTTGCAAATTTTTAAAAATTTTAAAAATTAGGGGTGTAGCTTAGTGGCAAAGCACTTCTTCTGGGTTCCATTCCCAGTACAAAAAAAAAAAAGTGTGAGATGAGGAATTTGATGCAATATCCAGGGTGGGGATTCTTAGGAGTCTTGTAAGATAAACAGCGCTCAGAGAAAGCTGGCTGGAGTTTGGTCAAGGAGGCGTCCTTGCCAGGGTGAGCTGGTACAACTCATGTTGACAGAGCCTCAGTCACCCCGATGGTTCTGGGTGGGGCCAGGAACCCCAAATGTACCTGGAGCCTTGGAATACAGACTGGGTGTCCTTCCGAGAGACCTGTTTCTCAGTGTCCCTCATTTTGTCACAGGCCCAAATCTAAGACCTAGTAAGAAGTTGAGGCCAGGTGTGGGCAGCGGGGATAGGGAACTGGGACCAGGGAAAAGGAAGTCAGGCTTGTGATCACTGTAGCTGGCTGCGGGCGGAGCTCCGTGGTAAAGCAGGTGCCTCGCATGCAAGAGGCCCTGGATCCACCCCGAACACACATGCACACACACACACACACACACACACACACTGATTGTAGTACCACATCACCACGACCCTCTCCACACTTGCGCTGGGTGCTGAGCACCGCCCCTGCCTGGTAGGATCACTACCACATTTGAGGAGGGGATTATTTATTGAGCCCTTTTTCTTTTTCTTTTTCTTTTTTTTGTTGTTGGTTAGAAAATAGAGGCTCAGAAAGAAGGCGTCTCTTAGCCAAGGTCATGCAGGAAAAAAATGGAAAACACTTATTTCAGACTCAGCTCTTTGAAGTAGTAAGTGGAGGCCTGCCAGCCCCATTCAATCCCAACTCTGGTTTTCTTGTTTATGAGGATGTCCTGTGGCTTGCAAACCGGTTGTGTCAGCCGGGTCAGGGGAGGTTCTCCACCAAACCCTCGTTTTGCTGGGTGTGGTGGCGCAGGCCTGTAATCCCAGCTACTTGGGGGGCTGCGGCAGGGTGATTCCAAGTTCAAGGCCAGCCTGGGCAACTGAAGGAAAACTTGTCCAAAAAATGAAAAGGGTTGGGGTGTGACTCAGTGGTCGAGCACCCTGGTTTCAATCCCCGGGAACACACACATAACACAAAGCCTTGTTTTATTTTTTTATTTATTGATCTTGCTCTGTTACCCAGGCTGTGTGAACTGCTGGGCTCAGGGTCCTCCTGCCTCAGCCTTGAGTGACTGGGACTGCGGGTTGCACCACAGCACCCAACTAGAACCTGTGTTCCTGAGGGTTGGAGTCATGAAGGAGAAGCTCCCAATCACAGTTGCTTAAATAAGATGGATGTTGACTCCTTGCTCACATTCGAGGTGGTCAGTCCAAGACCAGAGGGGTGCTGGGGGTCAGAGACCCATACTCCTCAGCAAAACCCTGCTCCCCTGTATCTGCTCTGGACAGTTTCTGTTTCCCAGGTCTCTTCATAGTCCAAAATGACTGCTGCACTCCAGCCTTCATGTCTGTGTTCCAGTCAACAGAACAGGAAAGAAAAGGGATGATATGGGGATCACCCCTCTCCTTCATGACCCTTCCTGGAAGTCCCTGAATTAATTAATTCATTCATTCTTTCTTTCTTTCTTGAGTAACAGCATGAGGTTATTAGAGGAGACAGAAAAGGGGAAAACGGAACACTCTCAAGGGAGAGAGTGGGTCCTCTCAGAGAGAAGAAGGACCTGGATTCTTTCATGATAATTCATGGTCCAGAAATTAGTCACAGAGTGACATCTGGCTACAAGGGAAGAGGAATGTCCTTATTCTAGGTGGCTGAGGGCATCTGCCAGACTCGGTGGCCCTGCCTGTAATCCCAGCAGCTGACCTTGAACTTGGAATCCTCCTGCTTAGGCCTCCTGAGTAGCTGGGGTTACAGGTGCGCACCACCACACCTGACATCCTTTTTTCTTTTTTCAATTTTTCTGATACAGTAGACATAACATAAAATGTACTATCTGCACCATTTTTAGAAATATTTTTTTAGTTGTAGAGGGACACACAATATCTTTGTTGATTAATTTATTTTTTATGTGGTGCCGAGGATCGAACCAGTGCCTCCCACATGCTAGGCCAATGCTCTGCCGTTGAGCCCCAGCCCCAGGCCCATCTTCACCATTTTGAAGTACGTAGTTCAATGTCGCTGATCACATTCAATGTTGCGTACCCCTCCCCATCATCTACTTCCAGGACTGTTTTCATCTTGCAAAAGGGAAACTCTGATGCCTGTAATCCCAGTGGCTCGGGAGGCTGAGGCAGGAAGGTTACAAGTTGGAGGCCAGCCTCAGCAATTTAGTGACACCCTGTCTCAAAATAAAAAAGGGCTGGGGATATGGCTCTGTGGTAAAGTGCCCCTGGGTTCAATTCTCAGTGCCAAAGGAGGAAAAAAACAAAAAAACAAAACCCGGACACTGTGCCTTCCTGGAACAATAATTCCCTGATGGCCTCTCCCTCTGAGCCCTGGTAATCACCATTCTACTTTCTCTGAATCTGACCTCCTACCTGCCTTACTGAGGGGAATCATACAGAACTTATCTTCTAGTGACTGGTCACTCAACAGTTCTCAGAGATAATCCACGTTACAGCATGTATCAGAATTTCTTCTTTTCAAGGCCGAATATCAGTGTGTGCTGCATTGTGCTGGTCCATTAATCTGTGGATGGGAACTTTAGTTACTTCCTCATTCTAACTATTGTGAGCAGTTCTGTCTTCTAGAGCTTGCTTTTGGTTCTTTGAAGTATATATATATATTTTAAAAAATGGGATCAGCAGCTGGGTGTAGCTCACAGCACTTGCTTAGCAGCCCTGAGGCCTGGGTTCCATCCCCAGTGCTGCAAACAATCAACCAACTAAGCAAACAAAAAAAATACAAAGGAAAAATAAAAAACCTGGGATCCCTTTGTTTGGGAAGCAGGCTCAGTGAACACCGGCTGGTGCAGGTGTCCACACTTCATTATGCATGGCAGTGCTGGTCTGCAGCCTTTTAACTGTGGCATAACTGGGTCCTCATCACCCAGTCATAGATCTGACCCTTTGGTTTGTTTATTAGGGAAATAAAAAGAGATTTAAAATTGCTCTTTGTCACTCATTGGTCAGTGCCCCCACATCTGAGGTCCTCTTTGACATATTTCTGCTTGCAGAACTCATGTCCCCGCGGGCCTTGCTGTGTTCCCATAGTCCTCCAGGAGTCCACTGGAGCTTGTCACACCCTTTTAAGAGTAGGGGAAACTGAGGCCAGGCATAAGCCTGCGTTCTTCATGAAGTACCCACATGATCATGTGCACAGCAGGGACAGAACAGAATCCGCTGCCCTCCTGGAACTGATGCCCTCGGGGAGGCAGTAACCAAATAAGAAAACTGGGGTGTGGGAAGGCAGGAGTAAGAGGGTGTTACAACCTAGAATAAAGTAGTCAGAGGAGGCATCACTGAGAGGGTGACATTGGATAAAGATCTGAAGGACTGGAGAGAGGGGAATCCGGGGATGTATGGAAAGAGCTTTGGCCCCGAGCAAAGGCCCTGAGGTAGGAGCATACTGCCCCTTTGGGTTGGGTGAAGCCTTTGTCCTTCAGTCTGAGTGAGGTGGACAGATTGTGGGGTCTGGTTAGAAGAAAAGGGAGGTCTGGGGGAGGCTGCTGTGGTAGGCGGGACAAGGGCAGGGCCATGAGGCTACGTTAGGGGGAAAGGTAGGTGGCTGTGGGTCTGTCTGAAGGCTGAGATGACAGGCCACGCTGACACATGGAATGTGATGTTCATGAAGTCCTGGGTGAAAGTGCAGCTGGCCAGTCACTGAAATGAGTTTTGCAAGAGAGTTACTCACGGGGATTGGTGTGGAAAGTGTCTCAACTTTAATGTTAAGGCTTCCCAGAGGAGAGGGTCTGGGGACATTTACGGGAAGGAAGCAGGGTGACATAAGATATGGAAAAAGGTGACTGGAGGTGAAGCCATTAGTGGTCTGCATGTGACTAATCAGTCTTTCTGGCTCTTTATGGGACATATGTTCGGAAAATGGAAGCATTAGCATGACCTGAAGGGGAAGTTTGCCCCTTGATATCAAAGAGGTCACCTGCATGGGCCCAAGGCAAGAGTCAGGGTTTTAGCCAAAGCGGCCTCCAAGTCCCACAGAAGTTACCTGGGCAAACGTGAGCATCATGACCCACACAGCAGAGGTGTCCTCTCAGCAGAGCTAGCAGGAGACTAATAATGTATTACTTAGCTGTGTGACCTCTAAAATTACTGATATATGTATTTTTTTCAGTGCTGGTGATGAAACTTGGGGCCTTGTACATACCAGCAGGGACTCTATCCCTAAGCTACACCCCAGTCCCCAAGTCAGTGGTGGGGAGGTACTGGAGACTGAATCCAGGGTACCACTGAGCTATGTCCCAGCCCTTTGTATTTTTTTATTTATTTTGGTATCTGCTGAGCCACACCCTGGACCTTTTTATTTTTTATTTTGAGGTGGGGGGTGGCTAAGTTGCTTAGGGCCTCCCTAAGTTGCTGAGGCTGGCTTTGAACTTGTGGTCCTCCTGCCTCAGCCTCCCAGTCGTGGGAATTCAGGTGTGTGCCACGTACCCAGCTCAAATCAGTGATCTTTATCCTTAAAAGTAAGTAACTGAAAGCAAATGTGGCCAGTGGGGCGGGGCTTTCCTCGGGCCTCCCCTGAGTTTGCAAGCAACCCCGGCTCTTGGCTTGGGTGGGGGGTGGTGGCCACTCCAGGGACAGGAGGCCCTGCAGGGGAGTGGGTTGGGCTGCAGTCAGCTCTGGTTCGGTTGTCCCCCGCCACCTGGGCCAGCTCCGTGGAGCACTGGGTGGACAGCAGCCCCCTCCCCGCAGGCTACGGCTACACGACGCCGCTGACAGACGCGGGCAAGGCCTTCTCCATCGCCTTCGCGCTCCTGGGCGTGCCGACCACCATGCTGCTGCTCACCGCCTCGGCCCAGCGCCTGTCGCTGCTGCTGACCCACGCGCCCCTGTCCTGGCTGAGCTGGCGCTGGGGCTGGGACCCGCGACGGGCCGCGCGCTGGCACCTGGTGGCCCTGCTGGGCGTCATCGTGACCGTCTGCTTTCTGGTGCCGGCCACGGTCTTCGCCCACCTGGAGGAGGCCTGGAGCTTCCTGGACGCCTTCTACTTCTGCTTCATCTCTCTGTCCACCATCGGTCTGGGTGACTATGTCCCCGGCGAGGCCCCCGGCCAGCCCCACCGGGCCCTCTACAAGGTGCTGGTCACAGGTGAGCTGGGCCTGGCTGGCGCCGAGGGCGGGCGGGTGGCGGGAGGGCTGCGGGGGACAGCCATGGGCGCGCCAGCCGACCCTCCCCGTGTCCGCAGCCTACCTCTTCCTGGGCCTGGTGGCCATGGTGCTGGTGCTGCAGACCTTCCGCCACGTGTCCGACCTCCACGGCCTCACGGAGCTCGTCCTGCTGCCCAGCCCGTGCCCCGCCAGCCTCGGCGACGACAGGGACGATCGGGTGGACATCCTGGGCTCCCCGCCCGAGCTGCACCAGCACCTCTCCGCTGGCGCCCGCGCCGACTACGCCTCCATCCCCAGGTAGCGGGCAGGCGGTGGCTGCGGGCCCAGGGCAGGACCCGACGTCCATGCAGGTGGAGCGGAGGCAGGGGCTGCTCGGCCCTCGGGCCCTGGGGCTCCGGCGGCACCTCGTCGACCTCCCCCCTGCCCCCTCCCCCCTATTGTCCCCTCTCCCCCTTGCCCCACCCTCTGGCTTTCTGCTTTCCTGACGTCCGTCCTTCGACCCTCAGTCTCCATGTTCCATCAGCCGCTCACCCACCCGCTCCTCCAGGGAGGCTGTCCCAGACCCGGTCCCGGACCTGTTTCGCGCAGGTCAGGTGCTCAGTGGCAGCCCTCTCTGAGCCTCGGTTTCCTCGGCTGTCAGAGAGCCGTCCGTTCACCCCCAGACCCTGCCTCTGTGCTGGCCCAGGGCTACACAGTTCTGGGGACACAGGAGTAGTGGAGGTGGCCCTGTTCTCTACTTTCATGGGACTCACAGCCATGTCCCCACCTGGTGGAAGTCCCAGAGGGCACAGGCAGAGTGAGTGGTCAGGGCACCAGCCAGCTGCAGCTGGAAGGTCAGGAGAGGAAGTGACAGGACTGAGAACGGAAATGTGAGGAACGGTCAGAGGAAGAAGGTGTCCTTGATTCACGTTCCCAGGTACCTTCAGGGACCAGGGCCTGCGTGGCCATCCTGGGGCAGGCCGGGTGGCAGGACCTCCCTCAGTATCTCAGCCCAGGTCCCCCTTCACCGAGCCTGTGGGCTCCCTCTAGCCCAGCCGTGTCCTGCCCAGGTCCTTAGGCAGTTTCTCTACCTCTCAGACTGTTCCTATAAAATGGCAACCAGGATAGCACCACTTGCAGAGGTGATGTGGCCGGGACTGCCCTGTTACTCTGTGACACTCTGGCCAGGCTCTCTTCTGGATACTTTACAGGAAGGGAGATAATGTTGGTTATCTCCTTTCCACAGATGAGGAAACTGAGGCAAGGGAAGGTGGTCCCTTGACCCAGCCACAGGCGAGGAAGCGATTGGTTGTAGGTTTAAGCCCCTCGGATCTGCCCCTCCTGAGACGGGCTGTCGCAGAGCCTCCTGCCAAGGGTCCTGGACTGAGCTCCTAGCTCTACCACACCCTGTGCCTCAGTCACAGAAGGGACCACGGGACACTGGAGCCAGGCAGGGCAGGGCAGGCAGAAGCAAGAGCCTGCCCAGGCCTGGCGCTGGGGCATGTGGGCAGCAGCTTCTGGCTCCTGTGCCTGGAATAAGGCAGGGACGAGGGAGGAGCTGGTCTGAGTCCTGGAGTGACTCCCCGGGTGGCCTCATCCGGAGGGCACTGGAGAGGTATGGAGGGGTTTGGACCAAGAAGGGGAGTCGTGGTCAGATTTGGACTTTAGGAAGGCCCCCCAGCTGCGTGTGCAGGGAGATAAGTGGGGGAAACTGAGGCAGGATGCTGGGGGAGGCTGGGGGAGAACAGAGAGCATGGGCTGGGCAGGGCCATGGGATCGGGGAGGCCCCGAGCTGGCGGATGGGCTTTGCAGACTGGGAAGGACCGGGCCCATGGTCAGTTGTGCCTGGGGACCTGGGAGGTAGCACAGCTCTGAGAGGGGTTGGGGGCTATTTTAACATATGGTGAGTCTGAGGGGCTACAGGGACATCCAGGAGGTGTCACAGGGCCCTGGGGCTGGGGCTTAGGGGGTGGTTAAAGTTGGAGACAAAGGAATTGAGGCTGTGGGAGAGGATGAAGAGAGAAGTAAGTGGCCTCAGGGTGTTTACATATTGATATCAATTAGGAAAGATTTTGGCTTTTCTGGGGTTCTAATAAGGCAAATGTTAGATTGCTCCTCATCAGAGTCAGGGAGACCTCTGGAAATACTCTCCACAGCAATGCAAGAGCCTAGTGATCCCAGGGTCCCTGTGTCTCTGCTCTGCCACCCTCAGCTGAAGGCTTGCCTCACATGTGTTCTCCCCTCATGGTCCCAAAGTGGCTGCCAGAGGTCTAGGCATCACAATTGGACATGATCTTCTCTAGTGAGCAATGACCCTTCAATGAATGTTGTGATACCAAAGAAAAGTGCTTACAAAGGAGAAAGAAAAAAAGCACAGGATAAAGAGGAATAAGGAAAACCAGGAAGGTGGACAGTAAAATGGTAAGAAAAGAAAATTTTAGGGCTGGGGTTGTGGCTCAGTGGTCGAGCACTTGCCTAGCACATGTGAGGCACTGGGTTCAATCCTCAGCACCACATAAAAATAAATAAAATAAAGGTATTTGTGTCCAACTACAACTAAAAAATATTTTTAAAAAATATTTGGAAAAAAAGAAAAGAGAATTTTAAATTCCACATGATTGTTGTGATAAGTGATAGAAAATACTTACAGAGGGTTCACCATGTGCCAGGCACAGCTCTAAGCCCTTGACACATTCAACCTTCTCAGCAAACCTGTGAGTCATGAACATTCTCTACCTTTTACAGATGAGGAAAAGTGGCTCAGAGAGGTTAAGTAACTTGCCAAAAGTCACATAGAAAGTGCAAAACTGGGATATGAACAGGCTCTTGGTTGGTCACCTCTTCCTATGGGAGCTCAGAAACATCCACTGTCCAGCTCTTTTCAGCTTCCCGGCCTTTTGGGCTTCTTATCAAGGTCACATTGGATCTCGGCATTCAAATCAGGGTGGATGGTTTGGGCAGCTGCTTCTTATCTCCTTGAGGGAGGTGCCTGTTAATCTGGCTTCCAGGGCTTGCTGCTGCTCTGCAGGTTCCTCTAGGAAGAGTTACCAGGTCCTGTTCCATTCGAAGTATTTAAAAACAAAACCAAAAAAAGGATGTGCTAAAAATTCCAAAGGGGAGCTGGGCACGGTGGCACACACCTGTCATCCCAGCAGCTTAAGAGGCTAAGGCAGGAGAATCGTGGGTTCAAAGCCAGCCTCAGCAACTCAGCAAGACCCTGTCTCTAAATAAAATATAGAAAGGGCTGGGGCTGGGGCTCAGCGGGTAAGTGCCTCTGGGTTCAATCCCTGGTAGAGAGAGAGAGAGAGAGAGAGAGAGAGAGAGAGAGAGAGAGAGAAAAGAGAGGAGAGGGAGGAGAGAAAAAAGGAAAAGAGAAATGCCAACTGTACCACGGAGAGCTCGGCCGGCGGGGGAGAAGCCTTCCTCCTGCACTCGGCGCGGGGGTCCGCAGGTTTCCTCCAGGGCTGCGCCGGCAACATCCACACGCGTGTCTTATTTCCCATTCTACACAAATGGTACCTAGTGTGTTGAGGTGGTGAGAATCACAGACTGTCACTCCCAAGCTGGGGGACTTTGGGCAGGTGATGTCACCTCCAGTTGCTCATTTGTGACACGGGATGCCAACCGCGCCTACCTCATGGATGGAGCAGTCGAGCTCACCACCTGGAGAGCACTCAGGGGCGTGTGGGACTCCGTGAAATGCTGCCTCATATTGCTGTTGTTCTCATTGTAAAATATTATGTAGATGATATAAAAACATTCACATTTCAACATTACATTCTGTGACATCACTGCTTCTTGGTTTTTTTTCCGTCATCACAGTGTAATTCAGACATTACACCAGAGGCACACGTCCACGTCTCATATCCTTTGTATCTGCGGGGCCTCCTCTAGGACACATGTCCCCGAGTAATTCTGGCATCCCCGAGAGGTGTGTGGGTGATTTCATCTTTTGCTGGTAAAACAATGCTGCAGCAAAAGCCTTGTGCACTGGGACCTAATGAAGGCACTGTCCCTCCCTAGGGTGCTGTGTCCCCAAGCTGGACATGTCACTGGGAGACCTGGTAGTGTTGACTGGTGGATCTAGATGGGTTCGGTACATGGCTGCTGAGTTGATTTCTTTGGATGAAGTCACCCTCCCTGGCCCGTGGGGTGGACTGGTGGGAAAGACAGACTCCACCTGCTGTCCATTTACATAAGGGTACCTGGTCTGTGCTGTTGGGCAGGGATTGAATCTCTCCACCCAGTGACAGAGACAGGTCTGTCTCTAGCCAGGTGTCCTCAGGGGCTGAAGGATTTATGGGGGCTTGTCATGCATCACAGAAAAAAATCTGAAGGGGGGCTGAGGGTGTAGCTCAGTAGTAGACACTTGCCTAACATGTGCACGGCCCTGGGTTCCACCCCCAGCGCCACAAAACCATGACAGAAACTTGAAGGGAAGTAGCTTGGTGACAAAAAAGGAACTGGTATTTGAGCACATTACAGTGTGTGCACAGATCTGAGGAAGAGATGGCACCTGAGCAAAGGACATTCCTCCACTCTGTGTGACTGGGCCGTGGCATACAGGAATCTATGGGGAGGAATGAGGCCATCTGGATGGGACAAGAGGGATGAGCGTCTGGAAGCCATCTGAGGGGTCTGGATGTTCCTGAGGTCCTGGGATTTGGAAGGTTTTAGAGTTCTGGTTCTCAAGGTGTGGGCCTCAGACCTTCAGGATCAGCATCACCTAAGAACTTGATAGAAATAAAACTTCTCGTGCCCACCCCAGATCTACTGAATCAAAAATTCCAGGGTGGAGCCCACCATCCTGTTTGAATGAGGTCTTTTTGTGAATCTGATGAGAGCTTAAATTTGAAAACGACTGGTTTGAAGTCAGGTTTGCAGTTCATTGAAAAGTCATGGTCTCCCGGAGCTGTAACTCAGTGGTAGAGTGCTTGCTTGGCATGCATGAGATTCAATCCCAAGCACAGTTAAAATAATAATAATAATAATAATAATAATAATAAATATAAAGTCACAATCAGAGACTTTAAAAGTTAAAACGAAAACAAATTTAGATTAAAGCTCTCAATGGCATTCCTCTGTGATTCTAGAATTGCTACTGAACCAGACCTGGTCTGCCCAGTGCACACTTGCCAATCATGGAAATCTCAGGGTGAATTTTGCAAGACTTTCTTCACAAAGTGGCTAGTGTGCAGGTGGGAAAGTAAGGATAGGGTTTGGGATATGGGAGAAAGAAACAGGGTAATTTAAGACATGGGGGTGTCTGATTGGAGGTGAAGTATCAGTGGGTCTACGCATGCCCAATCAATTTTCATAGGACACATGTCCAGAAAATGGCAGCATTAGTATGACCTGAAGGTGGAGTTTTCAGGTTCCTGACATCAAAGAAGTCGCCCATTTAACACTTGTGCAGACCCAAGTGAAGAGCCATAGCTTTAAAAAAAAATCCTTCAAGTCCCTGAAAAGTAACCGAGGCACCCATGATCACCATCACCCACATTAGGTGGTATTTACTGCAAAGTGAATGGGAGGCTAGTACTACATCACTCAGCTATGTGACCTCTAATGCTAGTGATTTTTTTTAAATGTATTTTTTAGTTGTTGATGGACCTTCATTTTATTTATTTGTAGGTGGTGCTGAGAATTGAACCCAGTGCCTCACACATGCTAGGCAAGCGCTCTACCTCTGAGCCACAACCCCAGCCCAATGCTAGTGATTTTCAAAATCAATTAAAAGAAGTAACTATAAGCAAGTGAAGCCAGAGGGTTTATTCCTACCATCACTCAGTTTCAGAATCAGAACACATAAAATGCATGCTCCCATGAGCTGAGCAGAGAAGGCTGCTTTTAAAGACAGAGACTAATGGCAGGACAGCAGAAACAGAGAACAGAATCCTGGACAGATTCTTTCAAAGATACTTTCCTTGAAGATGTTAAAATAGCCAGGATTAGAAGCTCAAACTAATGGCCTCCTGTATATTTAACAGTACTTACTGTTCACTTGTTTACTCTGTGCTGCCCTCTTCAGATGTTATTTTCTTGACTTCCCACAATAATGTTGGTGATGGATGACTATGTCCATATTTTGGATGAGACAATGTTTTGCTTTGTTTTTTAATATTTATTTTCTAGTTTTAGGTGGACGACAACATCTTTATTTTACTTTTTTTTGGTGCTGAGGATCGAACCCAGCGCCCCGCGCATGACAGGCGAGCGCGCTACCACTTGAGCCACATCCCCAGCCCTATGAGACCATGTTAATTAGCAGTTTAATTCATTCCCACAAGATCCCTAGGAGGTCAGATTTTTTTTTCAGAGGTAGAATTTTTGAGCTGAAGGACACGCATTCAGACTGGTACCAGAACAGTCTCTGGGAACTATCTGAAGGCATTCCTAGCACAATCTCATTTCCAGCGACCCTCCGTAGGCCCTCCGTAGGCCGCTCACTCGCTTCCCCAGGCGCTTGAGCCCCGCCCCCAAGCCCTAGCGTCGGTTAGGAATGCGCGTTACCGTGGTGACAGGGGCGTCACGCAGACTCTTCTCAGGAAAGGCGGAAGTTGGTTGTGGAAGTGCGGGCGGCCATTTTGAGACCGGGCAAACCGGGGCGGGACAGGTGCTGCCAAGCAACGGTTGACCGGTTTTAACCAGGTGACTGGTACCGAGGGACGGGGAGAAGAGGGCGGTGCCATCCCGGTGGGGGGGGATGCGGGGGGTGGGGAGGGGCTAAAAACGGGAAGGGAGGGGAGGGGAGGGGAGGGGGCGGTAAGGCGGGGAAAGGCAGGGGAAGGCGGGGACCGGGCAGAGGAAGAGAGCGAGAGGCAGGAGAGAGGAGGGGAAAAGGCGGGGCAAAGAGCAGGGCGTGGTTAAGGGAAGAAGCAGGGCGATGAATAGGGGCGGGGCTAGAAGAGGCGGGGCATAGAGCTAGTAGGTGTTAGGGGCATGGAAAAGGCCGGAGGGAAACGGTGGGGGGTGAAGGAGTCGCGGCTCGGGAAGGTGAGGATTGAGAATTCAGAGCTGGCGTGGAACGAGAGGGAGCAGGCCGAGAAGAGGTCTCGCGGCGAGGGGAAGGCCCGCGGCGCGCTGAGATCCAGGGGCGAGGACAGATCCCGGAGCGAGGAGAGATCCCCAGGCGAGGACAGGTCCCCAGGCGAGAACAGATCCCCGGGCGAGGACAGATCCCGAGGCGAGCACAGATCCCGGGGCGAGGGCAGATCCCGGGCCCAGGGGAAGGCCCGTGGCGAGAAATCCCGTGGCGAGGAGAGATGTCAGGGTGAGGGGAAGGCCGGTGGCGAGGAGAGATCCCGGGGGAAGACCCGTCCTGAGGGGAGATTCCGGGGCCAGAGAAAGGCCCGTGGCGAGAAATCCCGTGGCGAGGAGAGATCCCGGGACGAGAGTAAGGCGGGTGGCGAGCAAAGAACCCACGGCGAGGAGAAATCCCAGGGTGAAGTAAGGGTCTCTAACGAGAAGGGGCGAGGCGAGGAGAAAGTAAGCTGGGGCGAGAGACTGGGAGGGGAGGAGCGGGTCTCTAACGGGGCGTGGCGTGGCGAGGAAAGGGAGCGGGGTGCAGAAAGGGGGCGGGGCAAGAGGAAAGGGCGGGGTGAGGAGCAGGCGCGGGAAGAACAGCTCGCCAAAGACCAGGGGAAAGGGAGGGTCGAAAAGCAGCGGGTCGAAGAACTGGGTCGGTGCAAGGATAAGAAGCCGAGTGAGGAGCAAGCCCTAGGACAGAAACAGGGTCGCGGACAGGGGAAAGGGCGCGGCGTGGTGAAGGCCCGAGAGAAGGACCCGGAGAGAGGCGGGACCAAGGGTAGGTCCCGGTGCCGGAGCAGCGCCCGAGTGAGGAGAAATGGAAGGCACGAAAAGAAGGTTGCGGGGCGGACAAGAAATGATGGCAGAGCCAGATGCAGGAACAAGAGTATGATCACAGATTGCAGCAGAACAGGAGAAAACAGGGAGTGTTTGGTCAAAGCGAGGAACAGAAACCGAGACTTGGTGAAGAGCCGGGTCAGAATACTAACAGGCCGAGCAAGAAGCAAGGGCCGAGCAAAGTTACAGGGAGAGATGAGGAGGCGGGACGAAAAGATGTGCTCTAGTAGTGTCGTGACCAGGAGCAAGAGTAGGGCTGGGACCCGGAGTAAGACCCGAGTTGGGGTCAGGAGCAAGAGCAGGGCTGGGACCTGCAGCAAAAGCGGGGCTAGGGCCAGGAGCAAGAACCGGGAGGGATCCTGGAGCAAGTGCTGGGAGGGAGCCAGGAGGAAGAGGCGGGAGGGAGCGAGGAACAAGAGCTGGGAGGGAGACAGGAGCAGGAGCTGGAGCCGGGAGGGAGCCTGGAGCAAGAGCCGCCAGGGATCCTGGAGCAAGTGCTGGGAGAGAGCCAGGAGCAAGACCCGGCAGGGATCCTGGAGCAAGTGCTGGGAGGGATCCAGGAGCAAGAGTCCGCAGGGATCCAGAAGCAGAAGCCCGGAGGGAGCCGGGAGCTGGAGCAGGGGCAGATGCAAGAGCAAGAGCCAGAGGGAAGCTATCTGCAAGAGCAGGGGCGGAGCCAAGAGTAAGAGCAGAGGTGGGGCCCTGAGCAAGACCGGGGTCCGAGCCAGGGGCTGGGTCCAAGCAAAGTGCTGGAGCAGTAGCAGCAGGGCGAGGTCATCGAGGTCAATCCCAAAGTGCTGTCTTTCGCGGGGGTATTGATCCCCGCGTTCTCCAGATTCTAGCTTCATGTGCGCTGCCAAACCATGTCCCCTGCCAGCCCTGTGGCTGAGAGTCCGAGTCCTACGGGTGC